TATAGATGGGGGGGGGGGGGGGGGGGTGAGCAGAGGTGGGAAGTGGTTAAGTAGGAGAATAGAGGAGGAAGATAGGCACAGGGAGTGATGGCAGATAAGAAGAAGGGCAGGTTCACCTGCAGAACATGGCAGTGAAGCCCTGAAGGACTAGTCAGGGCTGGGGGCAACCTCAACAGAGTCAGGATGTGTTGCTTTGGGCAGCTCAGCTGGACACAGGCCTGGACTGCAATGAGATTGCAAATGCAGTGCCTTTGGGAGCTGACAGATAAAGGTGTAACTGAAGTTGCCTAAAACAGCTGGAAACATTGAAGCATGCAGGACTGTAGTCCAAAGTCATGAAATTAAACTACCCAGAGGCCAGCCCAAAACTATGGAATTAAACTACACAGAGGTTAGTCCAAAGCTATGGAGTTAAACTACCCAGAGGCTAGCCCAAAACCATGGAATTAAATTACCCTTAGGCTAGCCCAAATCTATGGAATTAAACTATCCAGAGGCTAGCACAAAGCTATGGAATTAAACTACCTGGAAGTTAGTCCAAAGCTATGGAATTAAACTATTCAGAGGCTAACCCAAAACCATGGAATTAAACTACCCAGAGGCTAGCCTAAAGCTATGGAATTAAACTACCCAGAGGCTATCCCAAAACCATGGAATTAAACTACCCAGGGGAAGCTCCCTGGCCAAGTGGTATATGTCTGCTCAACCTGGTCAGTCTTCTGTTGCTAACTTACTGCTCCTGGGAAGTGAGGTCTCTACTGAGAAGCCCATTCCACAGATCTGCAGGGCCTCTCAGCTAGGCAGAAAGTCAGACTGGAAGAGAGTGGGAAGTTTGGAAGGGACCTGCAGACATTTGAAAGGAGAATATAAAAGAAGGTCCAAGTTTTATGCCAAAGTGACTGTCATGATAGTGACCAGAGGTCACCAAATTAAAAAAAAAGAAGGCAGTTGAGGACTGCAAGGAATGTGATCTGAGTTTTTGTGTGCTGAGTTTGAGAGTGGAAGATGCTTTGGTGTGCTTTAAACCTTCTGCTGGAGCTAGATAGAGAACTGGACTTGGGTGACTTGTGGGCACACATGTGAGTGAGGCTGGGGAAGGAGCTTAGGCAGACCTGGTTTTACCCAGGTACTCTGTGGGGACTGGAGCCATCCTGCTTCCACAGACCATCATGGAGGAAACACTAAGATACCCACACAGACTGAATTTTTAAGAATTTTCAAGCTCTCCTAGCAACATGTTCACTGCTGCCCTGCAGCGTAACCCTGTCTGGCGAGCTCTGCGCTCACACAAGGAAGAAGAATCAGGGAAGAAACCAGCTACAGAATCAGAAAGAATACCACTGAAGGAGAAAGAGCAAAACTCTCTGTGCTATGATGCTAAATGCTACAGTGTGTGTATGTATGTATGTATGTATGTATGTATGTATGTATGTGTGCACACGCACGTGCGAGCACTCTCCCCTCCCCCTCTCTCATTTCTGAAATATGGCTCCAACCCAAACAAGTCCTGTACTAGCCCTAAAAAGTTTTAGTGCAAGGTGAAGCATTTGTACCAATAAAAAGATACAGTAGATGAATGTAGACTCAAAGTGTTTTCTACATATGTTTAGATTTGGAAGGACACACATTCGCAGTTGTTCTGTTTGGATAACAGTCTGCTAGGCTCCTGAGGGAAAGTAACTTCCCCTTTGAAAGCATCTTTACAACTGCAGTGTCTGACTAAGGGAGTTTATTCCCCAGTCTTAGAAATTCCTATAGCTCTCAGGCACAAAGAGTAGAGATACTTTTCTCGGTGCTTTTATATATTTAAAACACCTAATAAGTGTATATATGCATTTCCCCTTGCCCCCAGGCTCTGCTTTCATCTTTTCCAACATTACTCCACAGCCAGCTTTCCCAGCTTCCTATCCCAAAACATCCACTGTCCTCAGAAAGGCTGCTGCCTCTCTATGTGCAAAGTCCTTTTCTCTACCCGGTCTTCCCTAACCATCCATACTAGTTTTGCTCTCTACATAGACTGGTCATGATGATGGTGTTGCTCCCTCAACTACAAGTCCTCCACCCCCAGATATTCCACACTCTGGCCCTTGGCAGAAAGGAGAGCAGTTCCCTAAAGGCAAGAAAGGCGGTGTTCCCCACGTCTCTGCGACAGGCCTCTGGGAGGGAGGAGAGTGTTTTTATGGGGATAACTGCAGGTGAGTCTCAGGCTTGGCCTGGCCGGTCCTGCAGGAATCAGAAAGTTCAGAAACGCAGCCTCTGCTCCCTGGACTGGCCTGGACCTTCCCCGTCTCTCTGCTGCACAGTTAGCTAGGTTGGGCAGCCCTGAGGCCTGGGCGGGGTCACTATTAGAACTCTACACTTCCCTAAACATTAAGCTCGGTGCTCTAGGGCGGGGCTTTTGTGCCCCCCGCCCCCGCCCCGAGCGGACTGTCAGGGGCCTGGAACTGTGCCCTGCACGTCGCAAAGGAGGCGCCCAGTCCCCCTTGTTAAGTCCTGAGTAGGCACTCCATAAAGTTTGCAAAGTTCACGGGTGAGGGAGGCCTGGGCTCTTGCCACCAGCGGGTCTCGGGATCGCACAGGACCGCGGTGCGGGTGGCGCAGCGCTGCGGGGGAGGTGGGACCTGTGCCCAGCTGCCCGCCCAAACTTTGGGAGGGTGTGGAGGGAGGACAAATGCCCGCCGCCGGGTACCTTGGGACACTTGTCGTAGTAGTGCTGCTGTGTGCGGATCCAGCGCCCCACCAGGTGGTCGCGTACCGTGTATGCCAGAGCGAAGAAGTAGTCTCGGGGGGTGGCCACGTTGCGGTCCTTGACCAGCGTGAAGTGTAGGTGCCGGTTGAAGCCCTTCTTCAGCTCCGCCACGTTCTCCACGCCCACGATGCCGCGGATGCTGATCTGCCGTCGCTTCTCCTGGTCGGTCAGGGGCTTCGCCATGGTTGCGGGCGGTGGGACAGCACAAAGGGGGGCGGGGCTGCAGGTCTGGTCTGGCCCCGTCTCCAGCGAGGCTTTTGAGGAGCAGGGGAGTTAGGGATCCACCCCTCGGCGCGGCACCGCCCCTCGCTCGGCTCCCGCCCCCCCACGGAGCCCACAGCCCCCGGGGAGGCGCGCGCGCCCCCAGGGCGCCGCGCCAGGAACCTAGCCGTCACGTAGAGCGCGGCGTCTCTGACCTGTGTGCGGGTGGGGTAGGAGGCCTAGGCCTGGCCGATCACCCAGGTCCCAGCAAAGCCGTTGCCGTTTCTCAGCTGGAGAAGGCTCCACTGTAGCTTCCTGGGGTGACGCTGTAGGGTCAGTGTGATTTAACCCAGCTTGCCCCATCTGGCTCCCCAGTCCTCCGCATTGCCCCATCCTGGATCCTTAGGGAGGCCCGGTTGTTTTTTATTTATTTTCTGAGGACGCAGGGCTGAGGTTTTATTGGCTCCTAGACCCAGTCTGGGACCAGCCCACAGCAGCTGGCCACAGTTGGTGTCTAGGCTTAAAAGTCAAGGGGTCTGTGGGGGAGAAGCTTCAGGCTCAGTGGGGGACAGGACTTCGACTTGAGACCCCTTGTTTACAGTATGCTTTAACCAAATGAGAGAGGAGAGAGGAGAGAGGAGAGTGAGGAGAGAGAGAGAGAGAGAGAGAGAGAGAGAGAGAGAGAGAGAGAGAGAGAGAGAGAGAGAGAGAGAGAGACTATGTGTGTCTGTGTGTAACAAGAAGAGGTTACTCATGGAACCAGTTGCTTTATGTTCAGGAGACAAACAAGCTGCTGGCTGGCGATCTTTGCACCTGATCCAGATGTGGTGGTGGTGGTGTGGTCTACATGTGTTTCAAACTTGGGAAAGGTAAACATGTCAGATTTTTTTTCAAAATGTATGCATTGTATGTGTGCACGAGCACATGTGTCTTCCCGTGTGCACACAGGTATGTAGAGGTCGGAACTGCTTGCAGAGGTTGGTTCTCTCCTTCTATCAAGCGATCATGTGGGTTTCTGGGATTGGTCACATATGGGTCAGGCTTGGCAGCAGGTGCCTTTACCTGCCGAGCCACCTAGAGGGTCCATGTCAGAAGTCTGTATGTCTGTCTGTCTTTTCCTTCCCCTCCCCTCCCCCCATCAAAGCTAATTATTTTGAGTAGATGCACAAGTAGGAGTGCAGTTGCTTGATTCAGGCCAAATCAACCCTTACCCTAAAAATGACAGTTCTGTTCTCAAGGGTCTGGCTGCATCTCCAGATCCCCATCCTGCAGCTTTTAGCCTTTGGGACAGGTGAAAGCTGAAGTGGCTCTATGCAATGGCTTCGAGGAAAGCGTGGCTATGAGAGACAGGGAGAGGGTTGGATTTGGATGAGGACAGAGATAGCCTGGGCTAAGAGTGAGTGTGGAGCTCTGTCGGAGTGCTCTACTTAAAATTAAGAGCCACATGGTGAAGTCCGAGGGAGGCCTGAATGAGAAGGTACTTTGGCAGATTGCAAAGCCTAACAGTTTTTTTGTTTTTTTTTTTTTAAATCAGGTTGACATCTTTGAATGCTGTGATAATGAATCTTCATTGTGAACTTGACTAAATTTGGAGTAACTGAATACCCAGGCCACCTCTGGGTATGTGATGGTGTTTGCAGAGATGGAAGGGAGAGCTGCTTTGAGTGTGGTTGGCATCACCCCATGTGTAAGGACCCTGGAATGGTGAAACAGGACAAAGGAGAACGTGACAGGATGCCAGGGCTCACCTCTCTCTGCCTCCTGA